GGCCGGCCCAAGTTCTGAATCCTGGCTCCATCACTGACAGTTTGCAACCTGAAGAAGTCACTCTCTCGTTGTTTTCTCTGTCTGTAAAGTAAACAAAGGACAACACACTTTAAAAATCAATTGATGTTCTGAACAAAAGGGATGGGTGTGTGAAATGACGACAACTCTAAGGGGCTGAAAATACATTTCCCCAATTTTGGCTAACGCTGGAGGCGGTGAAGCCTTGTCTTACCTTACCCCTGGTCTCCATCAGCTCTGGGTCTCCTTACCGCCAGGAACCTCCTATCCCACTCCATCCTCAAATTTCTCCAGGCTGATCTTTCTGAAGCAAAAATCCAGGTGAGCCACTTCTGTTAAAACCCTGTAATGCCCCTCCCCTCCCTTCTGGAAAAAGTCCAACTCCTCTGCTCTGCGGACAAAGAGCTTCATGTTCTCGCCTCATCCTTGTCTCTGACCTCAGCTGCTGGGCACCTGTCTCTCCCCAAACCCTACAATGCACACAGTTCCCTAAGAGGGCCCCCAGCTTCGTGCCTCGGGGCCTTTGCATACGCTTCCCTTTGTCTGGAGTTCTCTTCCCTGTCTAACATCAGGTATTTCCCTGCAAGGTCCCTGGAAACCATCCCTAGGCAGCAGACCTGGAGCTCCTCCAGAGCACCTCCTGAGTCCTCCCTGATCTCCAGTGCAGGGCAGGACGCAGCACAGAGATGACTGCTGGAATGGGAAGCACAGGTGCAGGACCAAAGGCTTCCTTCCACATTTCCAGGGTGGGCACAAATTGTCCAGTAGAGACAGCTTAGTGTGATGTTCAGTTCCCGTCCGGGGATCAGCTGAATCTGTGCTTCTTGCCACTCCAGTTTGGGCCAGAGAGATTTGAGTATTCCGTTTTTAAAAACACAACATTTTAGCACCCAAATAAATGCATCTTAGTTATAGACACTGAAGCAGGTTGCCTCCTGCTTCCAACTCTCCTTCCAGAAGACGGTGTAACCAATGCAGGTTTCCCAGATACGGGAAACTACAGGGCTCCTCTCAGCAGAAACAGTGTTCAGGGAAACCCGCCTGGCGGGCCGCTCCTACCCCATCCTCATCTGCATGGATTCGGCAGGGAAGGGCCTGCGTGTCATGCAGCAGTGCTTTGGAACTGGGTAACTGTTTCTGAACACCTACCCCAAACGCGACTGACCCCACTGCGTGTCCACCCTCCCAGTCACCTGGGCTTCCCTGCCTTCTGTGGTTGAACCAGGTGATGTCCAGAGTCAGCCAGAGATACTGCCGAATGGCAGCCCAGAGCCACGGAAGAGGACAAGAGCCCAGGGTCAACAAATTGACCCTTTCTCTGAGATCCCAAAGGAGATGGAGGGTCGGTTCCTCTACCCTCCCTCAGGATTTGGAAGATCAACCCTTTTTGGGTTCCACTGGAGTTCAGAAATCAAGTGTCGGCCCCTCTTTCTCTCCACGGATTGCAGGTGATTCTAGGGCAGGGTCGCATCTCATGTCCATCCACACCTCCCACGCTCATTGGACTTTACTGAAGCCCAATGCTGGGCACCAGGAAAAGAAAGTGGTCAAACTCTACCTTTGAGGGGCACTGGTGAACCAACCATGCCTAGAGGGTGCCAGGTGCTCTGACCCTCAAATCCTGCATAAACATCACCTTTGAAGTAAGGTCTTCCCGACTTCCCTGTTTAATACTGCAGCCCCCGTCCTGGCATGTCCTCTGTACCCCTCTGCTCTACTGCAGCCTAACAGACTGCAACGTTTACCTGTTCAATTGAACACCTCTCTCTCCCCTGCTAGAATGTAAGCACGCTGAGGGAAGGCATTTTTGTGTTACTGACAAATCCCCAGGATCTAGAACAGGGATCGGCACATAGCATTTGATTCAAGCATTCATTCAGCAAATGCCTTCATTCAGGAATAAAATCTGCAGATGTAGCCTGCACTTTGTCAGTGTTTGCTCCTTGAGAGTGGGGACTTTAGGCAAGTAATTAATAGCCACTAGGTTCCCAAATAGTGCTGGGCACTATAAGGATGTAAAAGCTCTGATGTCCGGCTGGGCACAGTGGCTCACGCCTGTAATCCCAGCACTTTGGGAGGCCGAGGTGGGCAGATCACCCGAGGTCAGGTGTTGGAGAACAACCTGGCCAACATGGCGAAACCCTATCTCTACTAAAAATACAAATATTAGCGGGGCGTGGTGGCGCATGTCGGTAATCCCAGCTACTTGGGAGGCTGAGGCATGAGAATCACTTGAACCTGGGAGGCAGAGGTTGCAGTGAGCCAAGATTGCACCATTGTACTCCAGCCTGGGTGACAGAGTGAGACAAAAGCTCTGATGTCCATCCTCCACTGGCTTTTGAAATAAAATAGAAATTCCTCCCTCTGTGGCCCCGCCTACCTCACCTCCCTCTGCTTCCCCAGCGCACACGGGCTACGTCTTCCCTGGCCTTAGGTTCCCCCATTCTCCAAGCTCGTTCATGCCTCAGGGCTTTGCGCTTGCTCACCTTGCTGCTGGATCTCAGCGCAAATGTCCCTTCTTCTCACAGTCCTTCCTGTCCCCCCAACCCAGTTACCCCAGAAATCAACACTCATCACAGTTCTGTCATCTGCACTGTCTGAAATTATCTGCATCATTTATTTACTTGTAGAATCAGTTTACTGGAGAATCTCAAATCCATGGGCTCCAAAACAAAGCCATTTTACTTTTTCTCAATGACTTTATTCCATCAAGCTCTGCGGAGGCCCCTTCCTGCTGGGTCTTAACAGGCTGATCCCAACATGTTTCAGACTATCCTAGTCACTGAAAGGCAGACCAGGCCAGCTCAAAACTCCAGTCTTTGTTCAAATCTCTTTTCCAGAATAGTGGGGAGGGGAGCAAGATCTTTTATTCCTTTCTCTGGAGAAAAAAAAAGGGGGGACAGGGAGGAGCTGCGTGTCTTCTCCACAGGCCTCATCTGGGTCCGGTTCCGTCTGTTGTTATCCCCGTGGTGGGGGGGGGTGCCCGATTGTTTTGGGGCTGAGCTTCGTCTGTTGCTGGGGTCACCTCAGGAAGGGGCAGCCATATTCCCCTCCAGCCTTAACAGTGGAAGAGGCCGCTGCCCTTTGCCAGGTGGGAAGCAGATCCCTTTTCAGTACCTGTCTGGCCACAGTACTCCCCTCCACGTGGGTCCTTGTAGGAGCCCTCTGTGGAACCCTGCGCTGCCCTTCCAGACTGGGTCCTTGCTTTTCCTGGTGCTTCTCCCCAAGCCTCTGTCCACGGAACGCCCCACCAGAGAAGACGAAGCACAGCTCCGGGACGTGTGCTGAGCTTCCCAAGGGTGCCCTCACCACATCCGGCTGGGGGTGCCAGCCTCCTCTTCCTGGCAGCATCCTGTCTCGGGGGATCTTCTTGGGCCTCCTTCCCTTGGTGGGGGAAGGGGGTGCTGGGAGGGGCACCCACTCACCAACACCATGGCCACCCTCATTCCCTCCCTCTTGACCATTCCAGTCTTACCCAGAAAGGGAGGAGCAGGAAGCCAGGCGACTCGGGATTCACAGCAGCAGGACCAATTCTTCCACCTCTACTAGGCCATGGGGAAGGGGCCCGCCCTAAGCTTCCCTGATCTCTTTAGGAGGCGGTAACTAACTCTGCGCAGCTGGAAATCCCCCCCGCTGTGGCCCTTTGGTTATGGTGAGCCTTGCCTTCTGGAAGATGTGACACAAAACCAGCAGCCTGGCGTTGCTAGTGCCTAGGAAAACGCCCGGCACAGGGTAAGCCCTCGGTAACTACTTGCTGGAGGTGTGACGTGGTCACTACAGAGGCTTCATGTTGAGTAACAAGAACAGAAGGGGGGGCGGGAGAGCCTGACCCTGGCTGACACCGTGTGCCTGGGTGCCCTGCACACCCCTGACTGCACTTCTCACAGTGACCTAGAGGCAGCCTAACCCCCACCCGCTCCCAGCCAAGCTCGGGAGGAGGCAGAAGAGGGCAGCGGCTGGGAGCTCGGCTCTGGCGTCCGTGATCCTGCTCGGTCACCCCTTGGCTACGTGGCTTAGTTCTCTGACTCCAGCTCCTCATTTGTAAAAGGGGGATGGTAAGACTGCACTGTAAGGACTAAATTAGTGAATATATGTAACGTGCTTAGTTCACGTAGAGACATGGCAGGCCATCAACAGGAACCAGGGCAATTTCCGTTATCACTGGGACAGGCCCAGGTCGGTTCACCCCGAGGCCGGTGCTGTCTGCACAACGTCCCTCCCTCCTCTGGAGGGGGAGTGATGGAGTCCTCTGGGGCACGGGGGCTGAAAGAAGCCGAGACCCCCAGGGGAGGGTGACAGGGAAGGCCTGGGATGCCAGACCTTGGCCGGCAGCCTGATGTAAAAGGCGATGAGGCACCTTGTGGGCCTTCAATCAGGGGAGTGAGACGAAAGTGTTGTTTTAGAAGATTAATCTGGCAGCAGAAACAGAATGAAGAACAGTTGGGCTCAGACGACGCCGGCTGCCCAGCTCCCCCAGCAAAGCAGGAGCCCCCGGCCCCTTGGCGTGGGATTCCCGGCAGCTGGATAGGCCAGGCCTCCACCAAGAGACAGGCACCAAGGGAGGCCGGCAGAGGGCACTGTTCTCCCGGTGAGGAGGCACCTCCAGGGAGGGCTGGCATCTGGCTAGCCAGGAGCTGGCGGCAAAACAGACTCAGAATGAGGAGGGCGCAGGCAGCCCTGTCTCAGCCTCGGGACAGCTGTGGGACACTGTACGCAAATGCTGGGCCAGGCCCTTTCAAAACCCCCTGCGGGCTCTGCTTTTGCAGCGGAGGCCCTTTGGGGAGCCAGTGCGACCTGCTGCGCAGAGCGGGCAGGACCACCCCCTCGGGCAAGGATGGCCCGAAGCCCCAGCCTTGCAGAAGGGAGGGCCAGCGTTCCGAGTGGGGCTCCCGGCTGCTCTGGAACTGGCAACGACACCACGGCCAAAGTGCACAGTGGAGCTAGGGCCACCCTGGCCAAGGGAGGAAGGAGCTGCTGCTTCTACGTCTTCTCTAATTTTATTTAAAGGCGTCATTATATATTAAAAGTGCAGAGGTAATTCTATCTTCTCTGGTCGCATGGCACGGTCCCCTCTGGCCTTTACACCAGTGCCTGGAAAACCTCCATCTTCTCCCGGTACAGCTGGTGGAACTGCTTGGCCAGGCAGTGGAAAGGGGCTTCAAAGTTTTCCATCTCCTTCTGGAAAGACAGTGTGAAAAGTTCTCTGTGTTACTTACAGAAGGGCCAGCGGGTCAGCACTCACTCCATGCTTCCGTCATTCAGGGGCTACCCACTTTCCGCCTCATTTCATCTTCACACCCTTTGGGTAGCCACTCTCAGGATGCCAATTTTACAAGGAAACTCAGATGGATTCAGGACTCAGAGATGAAGGTACCTTGCAGGAAACCACACCCTTGTGAATGGCGGAGCTGGGGCCTGAACCCACATCTGTGTCTACAGAGCCTGTGCTTTTAGTTGCAATCACTGTGCATGTGATGAGATGTGAAAATGAGACCTTTCTCACTTAGTTTTCACTGAGGCTCCAAAGGCCAAAGCAAAATACCAGACGATCAGGAGCCCCTTGTCCCGAAGAAGAGCTAGACAGCAGGGGGAGCCCTCTTCCTGGGCTGGTGCCGGACCTGGGCTTGGGAGAAATCCAGGTGAGGCTGCCAGTGGGACGGCCTCGCCGCCTCCCCCATCAAACTAAAGAGCCACAGCTGTACTTCCCTGGACCAGCGGGGCCAAGTAGAGCCAGCTGGAGCTTGCTTTTTTTTTTTTTTTTTTTTTTTTTTTTGAGATGGAGTTTCGCTCTTGTTACCCAAGCTGGAGTGCAATGGCGCGATCTGGGCTCACCGCGACCTCCGCCTCCTGGGTTCAGGCAATTCTCCTGCCTCAGCCTCCTGAGTAGCTGGGATTACAGGCACGCGCCACCATGCTCAGCTAATTTTTTGTATTTTTAGTAGAGACGGGGTTTCACCACGTTGACCACGTTGGTCTCGATCTCTTGACCTCGTGATCCACCCGCCTCGGCCTCCCAAAGTGCTGGGAGCTTTCTTAAGGGGCTCAGATGGGACCATATCTGGGAGGGTGATGGGTCCCAGTAAGAAATAACAGCCAGGAACTGAGGCTGCAGGGGGGGTGGAGGGAAACCACCTGTGAGAAGCAGCCTGCAGGTGACACAGTGCCATTGATGGGGGGGAGGGGCATCTCAGAGGTGTCCACGAGGCACCAGCCGGACCCACCCGGCAGGTGTGGAGTAGGCCAGAACAGGCCCCAACAAACACACCATGCTGCTCGCTCCGGTCTCTCCCTCCCGAAGCCTGTGAGAGGAGGTGCGGCTTTAAATCAAGTTCAGAATTTTGAGTCATCCAGGGTGGGGCACTTTACTAACTGAAATAGTGAATATTTTTGTGACTAAAGGAATTTCTGTTATCTGAGAGAGAAAAGAGAAGTTGAGGAACCTGCGCTGGATTTTATCTTTGGGGTGGAAAAAGATGGGCGCCTCCGGGTTTTGAGGGGACAGGCTGGAGGGGAAGGAAACAGCGCCCTCTCAACAGCCGCTCTCGGTCTGTGGATGCCTGGTGCAGTTAAAAAAAAAAAAAAAAAAAAAAAAAAAAAAAAACCACAACTTTTCTTTGAGAAAAAGTTGGCAGACAAAGGAATGTACTACTTTCAAGACAGTAGCTCAAGCTATGAATGCACTAAGGACCTGTTTTGAAACGATCCCTGGCAGCTGGCAAAAATGCAACCTTGAGAAAAGGCCGTGAAATATCCCCAGCGAAACAGAAGGATTTCCAAACCGAAGTACGTGGCAGAAGGCATCAGGCTCAGTGCCTCCGCGTCACAGATGAGTAGTCTGGGGCCCGTGTGTTGGTGCAGGGCCCAGCCCAACATCCAGATTCTCCAATTTGGAAAGAGCTGCCTTTTCTCGAGGCCAGCTGGGATGAGAGAAATGTGCAGAGGAAACCAGGTCCCGTGGAGAAAGTCACCTGGACTTTCTAGCAAAGGAGGCTAAGCAAGGAAAACAGCTAAGAGGAAGAGAGGTGGCGGTGCTGAGAGCGCGCTGAGGAGAGAGTGGACAGTTTGGAGCCAAGACGGGCATTGACAGTATGCTCCCAACAGCCAAGGACTTGAAGGCCGTCACCCTCCAGTGGACACAGAGCCTCCCACCGGCCCCGTTGGTTGTGGAGAGCATCACATGCTAGGCAATGCCAATATGGGAGTCAAACACTGTGTCCGTCAAAATTAGAGGTAAGAATCGAATGGAAAAAGAATGAGGCCTACATAGCTCCCGCATGGGGATTTCTAAATGGATTCGAAAGCACTCCAAAATGCAATCTTGGGAGAACTCAACAGAAAAAGGAAGGAATTCATGCAGGTGAGCCTCAATAGACACCATGGAGTGCTTCTGAAATAGATGGAAATTGAACTATTGTTCAAGTACTTTAAGAGGGTTGCCAATGACAGGAATCCTTTTGTCTGATGACTAATCATCCTCTCTCTTACGGAGTCGGGACACCTGTGGAGGAGGTCCGTTTAGCGTGAAGGATTCTCAGGGCAGGTCCAGGCTGGCGTTGAGTCTGGCCTAGAATTCTGTTCTGCAGAGTCCCGAGGCAAGCTCCGAGGGAGGCCAGGGTACCCCTCCTAGAAAACTCAAGTTTTCGAGCGGGACAGGCCTGACTTCTAGTCCCGTTTCTAGCTCTTGTTTAACTGTGCGACCAGGGCAAAGCTACCTAAACAACCTTTCTGAGTCTCCCTGTCATCTGTATAACAGGGACTGGAGTGTTACTTTGTAGGACTGCTATGAAGCCTAAAGAAATAATGTGTGCAAAACAGCACACAGTAGGCCTTCAACAAACGTTACTTCCTACTCCCTGCTCAGCTGGGAGGGCAGTGATCACCACGGATGGTTTTTGCACTTGTTTGTATTTAATTTTGTCCAACTCCTTACAGCGATGAACAATATTTTTAAATATTTTAACTTCTGTTTGAAGAAATGCTTTGTAGTTTTTTTTTGGCCTGAAATTTTCAAATATTGAAGGGTGTTAGGCAAAGAACCATGTAGGGACCTCCTCTGGGTTGGCAGGATGGTCACTGTGGCGTTTAGGCAGAAGAGAGGAGGAGATGGGCTTGGTGTCGGCTTGGCTGTGGCTCAGGCTGCATTTGGTTATATTTCCTTTTTAATTACAGCTTTCTTAACTGAGCTGCCAGTGGTGCTTCTGTGAGCCTCAGCTCAGGCGGGACTAGTTAACTTGCACAGATAATAGCACGTGCTTACTGCAGCCTCTTCAAGCGTAATTTACACCCACCCACTTCAACACATGAACAGAGTTTAAACGTGGAGACCACTGGCCTTTGGTGACTCGTGTTTTGGAGGTGGAGGTGGGTTTTAATTTCTGAGTCCTATCAAGCGGGCCAGGGGATGTGGGATATTGGGGTGTGGGGACAATTTCACAAATGAATGGAGGAAGGGGGAATACTGAAATCCTGTTTGCTAGGGGCGCTACCACTTACTGCTTTGCACAAAGGTGAGCTGCAGAAAAGACGAAGAACCCGCTAAACAGGAAAAGCTCACTGATTGGAACTTCATTAATTTAGCATTTGTGATAAATTGCACCAGAAGCAAGGGTGATATTAACTCTGCACAAGCCAGGAATACAAGGATTTAGTAATAACAGTATCAACAAGACTACTAGGGGCAACGTTTATACCTGAAGAAGGCTGACATCTACTGAGTGTTAACCAGGCACGAGACTTTGTGACCCGTGTTTGATGTGCACCGTATTACCTAATCCTCATATTTCGGAGAAGGGATGCATTTGATTATCCTCATTGTACAAGCCTGAGGCACCAGTAGGTTAAATAACACACCCAGGAACCCACAGCTAGTTCTGCTACTCAAAATGGGAGGTCAGGGCGCCCGCCTTTAGCACTGTACTTTTCCTAAGGAAGGATTCTGCTTTGGGGGGTTTTATAAGCTCGGACAGCAGCACTGGGGTTATTACTTGTAGGGGTCTGTCTTGTAGACTCTGACTTAGCAATGGATGAATCAAGCACACTGACACACACATACGATGCTTTGCTAGTTCGCCTGAGGGTCCTGGTAGCTTACCGGCATTTTGGAAAGTGCTGTAAACAGCTGCAACTGCTGGCCGTTCTCAGCCAGTGAGACTTGCATTGATTGATGAAAGTTTAATTGATGAAGGTTTGAGTTAACATACCTGTATGTAGAGAAAAGCTAACTTCCTTCTGAGAGGGCTGTTTGGCTTAAAGGTTAGTTTTAAGACTACATGAGTAAACTAGTTAGGGCAACTCTTTGACATACTTTAGCCATCTGCTTTACTTGCTAACTAAATGTAAGGGGATTTGGGCTGCTTTTAGCCGAAACTTTTACTGAAACTATAAAAAACTTTTAGGCCTTCCAGAAGGGTTTGAGACTACTCTGAAACTTTTTCTACTAGTTTTCCTTTGGTATTTTTGCTGCTCCCCAACAGCAGCACTGGGGTTCTTAGGAGCAACAACAGAAGTGCCTAGAGCCAAAGTCTGGTTTGAGCAGAAGACCTCCGGAATGTTAACCAGCCCATGGCTCTTTTGAGGGCCACAGAATCAGGTCTAAAGGCCACAAGGTAAGGTCCAAGTTATGACCATGACTGTGCCAGGCCTGGGTGGTCTGCCCAGCTAGCAATCCTGGCGCAGGGCCCTGCCACCCACACCCGGGCCCCTGCTGGCTCTGAGATGGATGTTTGGGGCCACTCCTACCCCTACAGGACAGATCACCACTTTATGCCCGTCCTAGTGGAGTCTCCTGTGACGTGCCTGATTGGTGTGGCCTGGGTCACATGCCTGCACCTTGGCTTCAGGGAGGCTGGGACTTTAAAACTCCCCAACAGAGGAGGCAGGTTCCCAGGTGCTGGACAGATAAAATCAGCATATATTAGGCTGGTGCAAAAGGAATTGAGGTTTTTGCCATTAAAAGCGTACTGAAGATGCTGCTAACACGTAACTTGCTTTTTCTCCTTAACGAGGTCTTCTGCTCTTTGTGGCCTGGAGTCACCCTGGGGCTGCAGCAGGGTGAGGACAGGCGGCACCGATGGGAATTAGAGACCATGAGTCCTGGTCCTGGCTCCGCCCTTCACTAGTCATGTGACTTTGGACAAGTCACTTGAGCTCTTCAACATGGGAATGGAAACTGTGGGGCCAACTTCTGGCTCACAGGACTGATTGTGAGGGCACACGAAACAATGTTTCAACATCTGAGCCCATAATATCACGTGGAAGCGTCAAGGGTCATGCCCACCGCACACAGTACACTTGTATTTCTTACTAGGTGAGATCCAACTTTTCCCAGAGTTGGCTGGCTCATCTGCCTTAGTGCTATGTCTGAGTGGCTACTGCTATATTGAGAACAGATCCTCGGCTAAGAATGTAAACATCACTTCCAAGTGAGACTCTGCATATGGTCGAATAACAGCTCCCCGCACGTGAGGTCATGGGAAAGACCGCTGCCAGCAGAGGCCCACTCCAGACTTGGCCACGAGGCAAGCGGAGCTACTCACCACGGATGTTTCAAAACATTCCAGGCCCTGGCCCAGCGCCCACGCCCGGGCCTCGGCGGAGTCCACTGCTCGTCTGCCGGCCAGGTCTGTCTTGTTCCCAACTAAAACACCTACTCAAAAGAAGCAACCAAAATATGGTACTTTACTGTCACGGGCTGGAAGGACAGTGAGAGGAGAGATACCAACCTTATTTTTGAGGGGTGTAAACCAGCCTGACAGCCACCTGACTGTGGTGGTGATCCCCACAGGGAAAGCTGGGGGTCTCTCATGCTGGCCCCCAAAAGACCTGTGGGCTTTGCTTTTCATGCACAGCTTCTGCCAGACCTCTTTTCTAGACCTCATGTGTATCTGCCCTTGCCTCCTTAAAAGGCTGCAAACGCGTGAAGGCGAGGGCCAAATTGACGTGCGCCGTTGTAATAATTCCTAGCACATGCAGCAAACTGTAAACTGGTCATTAATAGTAATCTAAGGACCCGACTCGGAGTCAGGGATTCGGAGGTAATTTAGTTCAGCTCCCAGCTGCATCAGCTGCAGCTAATTTTTGAGCCTGTCTCTGGAGATCACTTTCCCGGTCTATAATGAGGAGAATTTGTTGATCTCACATAGGGATGGAAAATAAACTGATTTAAAGCATTCAGAAGTGACAACGGGACCTGAATGTTTACTTGTACCCCACATACAAGAGACAATGAGGAACTCTTCCCTGGGGTTAGCTTTCTGGAATTAACAACTGATATGACAGCGCCCTCCCCTGACTGAGTCTCCCCACAGCCCTTCAAGGTGGTGTCGTCATTCCCATTTCCTGGACTGGGAGAGGTGTGGGAGCTCACCATGGCTGGCATGGCTGCTAAGCAGCAGGGCCAGTGTATGCCCTAGGCCATCAGAGTCAAAGCCCAGGGTCCCTCTGCAATGCCCTAGTGTTTTTGAACCGAAGGACAGAGAGGCTGCTGGGAAACATGGGTTGTCTGCCGTTCCCACCTGGGAGACAGATGCCTGGAACCTGTGACCGAGCCTTCTCCAGCCACTTGCTGCAGTTGTTGAAGGACTGTTCACTGGTCACATCATAGACGAGACATAAGACGTTGGGACTCTCCCACTGTGCAAGAGGGACAGGATGAGCATGTGTCAGTAACAGAAAAAGCGACTTCAGGGCCGGGAGATAATCTGGCCTTCCCAGGGAAAGGATATGGGGGGCAGAGGGAAATGAAAAACTATAAAGGGGATGGGAGTCAGAAAACAGCCGCACCCACAGAAGTCAAACAATTCTCCCACAGGAATGAATGGGAGGGCCACACTCAGTAGCAGGAGGCAGGGGCGGTGCCGTGGAGGACCAGAGCTCATGTCTGGGCCAGGCTGTGTTGGGCACTTCCGTGCAGCGCTGTGAAACCTCCCAACTCAGTAGAGTCAGTCTGAATATTCCCACTTTGTAGCTGAAGAAACCCCATTCAGGGAGGGTAAGTGACTTGTTCAGGCCAGAGAGGCTTTAAAAGCAATGATCACCGATGACAGAGATGGGGGACAGGGGAGTTCTTCTCTACCCAGAAATCCGCTTTCACCTGCTGCCAGCCTCATTCCTTCACTCTTTCATTCATTCTCCCGCTCATTCTGATTGAGAGCTCACCACGATGTAAGTTACATGTTTGTGCTTTGCAGCCCTGAAAGTCGATTCTTCATCAGCCAGCCCTGGAAGCTTGTTTGCTTGCATCTTAATAAGGGCTGGCTGCTGAAAATGCAGAGGGCACTTTCTGCTTCTCCCGCCACGTCTGCATCAGCCTAATCCAAACCACACTGACAAGTGGACAGGACTCCATGACCCAATTAAGAGCCAAGGCCACACTCTCAGGGGTTGTTGCCTTCAGGGGCTGCTCAGAGTCCCGGGACGTCCTGCTCCTGGACATAGAATGGCCCTGTACAGGTTGTGGGTGTGCGCCCTGGTGCCCGTGACTCGGTCATGCCCTGGTTTCTGGATCCCCCGACCTTGCACCATTAGGATCTGGTTTATTTCTGCGGTGTCAGTAACCTCCCAGGGGACAGAGGAGAATCCCTTTCCCTCCAGATTGGAGTCCCTTTCGGATCCTTGGAAGGCCAGCCCAGAGTCCACTCTGGAGGGCCCCCCCTCATCCTACAAGGCTGTGCTGGCTCCTGGCAGTATCCGGGATGGGAGGACCGTACACTACACTGATGAACCCTTCACTCCACAGATTCAGTCTTGAACTTCTGTTAGAACACACTGAGCTCTGCTACATGCATGCAGGAGACACCTCAGCAGGGTTTTAACTCAGGAAACCCTCCTTCATCCAGGCTTCGGTGAGGGGGTCCTGGAGAGGTCTGGCATCAAGCAAAAGCCAGAGCGGGTGAGCCAGGAGTCAGGGCTGGCTTGAGGGACGGTGTGAGCTGATGGCTCACACGGTCCAGATTTGCCCAAATCATCTTCCTTTCTGCCAGGCATGGCAGCCCCAGTGCCAGGCCACGCACACGCTAGGCAATTGGGGTGCACATCACGAAGCAGTACATGAAGCCACCCTGCATGAAATCACTGTCATTAGATCTGCTTCTCTTAGACGGCTAAGAAAAGGGGGCAGAAAAGTTTCCATTAAAATGTGGCTGTTCTTGGAAAGGCAGGGGAGGGCTCTGGAGAACTCAAACCCTCTAATTAGCTCACTGGCCCAGATTAGTGGAGACTGTTACTGCAGAAGGTACAGCGAGTGGATCCTGCAGGGCTGGCAGGACAGGGGTGAACGGGGCATGGTGAGCCCTGGGCGGCAGCGGGGGCATGTCCCGCAGCAAACCCCAATGGAACGGCCCTGGGGAAGTCCCGGTCCCCGCTCCGGGGGGAGGCCAAGAAGGTGAGCCTCATCATAGGCCAAGGGCTCTACGGCCCTCCCCAGAGGGGCAGGAGGCAGTTGGTACTGTCCTGGGAGGTAGGGGACACCATCTGCAAGGGCACCATCAGGAGAGGGTTGCTTAAAAGAAGGGAGGCCCTGCAGGGGGAGGGCTCCTGGCCACCCCAGAGCTACAGCCCGGGCAGTCACGCACATCAGCCATTCCCTTCTTGCCAAGTAGCCACGAGTCCCGGGCTGGGAGGAATGCTCCTTAAAGAATTTTGCCATGGGAACTTCGTGACAGCACAGTGCAGTGAAATTGCTGTGCAAGCACTCTCAGGGGCAAAAGTTTTGGCAGGAGGTGGAGGTGGTCAGGAAAAAGACCACGTGTTACTTGCCAATTTATCCAGCATTTCCGAAAACAGCTCCTTGCCGGCAGAGTCAAAAATGAAGAGTTCCTACAATCAGAAAAGCAAAAGTCTTCCATGGAAAAACCACAGGCTATGTACGAGTCACCAGCACCACTCAGCTCATCCCTGGACTTGTCTTAGGGTGAAATACAGGTACCCACATTTTCATACAGGCTCCGCCTTTTCTCCCAGGCAGGAGAGAAGACACGGGGAAAGGAGTGAACTGCAGAGTCTTAGGCAGTACAACGGGTTCTCGCACCAACCAGCACTTTCTGTGCAGAGTCTCACCTCTCCTAACCCTGAGTGCAAAAATCCCAGGAACAAGCTGACTTCCCACCTGGCAGAACAGAATGCTAAACAGGCCGACAAGCGCTCTGGTTTCCAAAAGGTCACTCGGCACTTTGTTAACCAAATTGATTTTCAAATCTTAGAACATTTCTTTCTAAAGGAGGTCACTGAGTAGGCCCGGGGAAGGTGTTTAAAGTAGGGCATTCTGCCACCCTTCCGGGATGGCTAAGGTGTGATGCGGAGGGTGTGGGATGACCCTTCCTGCCCTGTCCAAACCTTCCCCCGCCCAGGTAAGAGCCCCCAGTGCTGCTCCCCTAGGAAATCTCCCCTCGGCGACTCCCCGAGCTACCTCCTGGCACTGGGTATTCCTGGGGCCTCTGACCCCCGGCATATGCCGTCTGAACATCAGTGCCATGGTCTGTGTTGTGTATTGCTTACCTGTGCACCCATCTTACCTTTGTCTAGAACAGAAGTACTTATACTGGTTTTTTTTGCTCACAGACCTGTTTAGGAATCTGGTGAAAGCTACAAACCCTCTCTCTAGAAAAGCACACACACACATAACATCTTACAATTTAATTTCAAGAGCCCCAGCTTCCCATAAAGGGACTCAAGAACCTTGCTAAGTAGATAACAAGCTCATTGAGGGCCAGGTCCATAGCCTAGTCTTCCTCCTCCCTCCTCCTCCTCTTCCTCCTCCTCCTCCTCCTCCTCAGTCCCTCCCATGAATGCTTCCGGATTCTATTCCTAAATGCTCAGACAAGCCGAGGCCATCGCCTTGCGCCGCATCTCTCCTAGGGAGGCTAGTGTGACCGCAGGGACCCTGGCGCAGCTGGGGTAGCCCCGAGTTCCCTTGGGTAAAGCCATCACTCACCACACTGTCTCCCGTGTCAGGAACTGGCACTGTCTTCACCACCAAATCCATTCCTGTTGTCTGCCGAGTAACACCAAGAATGTTAGCACTGAGGGCCCCCAAAGGGGGAGCGTGTTACAGGAGGACACACAAGCACCCCAACCCCAGGAGGGCTATTTCCAATGGAAGGGTCTCTTGTTGGGAAGTAGCTCAGCGTGCATAAGTCAGAGAGGACCACTAGTCCTCTGCACCTCCCTGCCCCCAAGCGAGCTGCTACACATGGTGACCAAGTTGCTTGGGCCAGCCTGCTCTGCAGCTGACCTCTGACCCCAGGCTAGTGGAAAAAACCATCTCCATGTGGCCCTTCGAGCAGCCTCTCATCAGCCGACTTAAGGCTTCTTCAAGGAACTTTGCAGTCACTCGCTCATGGTGAACCGAGCACTTGTCTTTAAGCTGTAGCCCCAGCTCACCAGTGTATAGCTCTTCTGGAAATGGGCTCCATCACTGCGGAAGATCTGGGCCAGGGCAGTCTTGCCCACTGCTGGGTCTCCTGTTAGGTCAGAACAGAAAAAACAACGCCCCAGTCCTCATCTGACTTGAGAATCTCCCGCTGCAGAACATTCGTCTAGAAACCAGAAACTTCAATGAGTTCTCAAAGATGGACTTGCCTCTCACGGGGACTTGTTCTGAGGCCTCGGGCAGGGCACAGGTCAATGAGACTGATCTGCAAACCTCACAACAGCCAGAGCATATTTCTGCACGGCTAAGCCTTTCATCCACAGGAACTGACCCAGAAGATAACAGAGCTTACGGAGGGCTTTGGGGCCCTGAAAACAGAACTGATGCTCTTCCACTGAAACACACCCTATGGGGAAAAGCTGTCACTTCCAAACTGGAATTTACTTTGAAGTCTTGAAGGTAAAGAAGTATGACTGGCACTGACATGCAGACTCACCTGTCAACTGACCCAGTCTGGGTCGACAGCTTCCACCTGAATACTTTTTTTGTGGTGGGGGGATGGGGGTTGGGAGGGTTTCTGCATTTGTGGAAAGCAGGAAGTCTGAGGCTATGTTCATCATCCTGAAATCTGTTTCCAAATGCTATGCTCCGTCTCGATCACAGAGTACCTGTTTATGACCCTAGGATCCATCTTCTCAGGGGCCTCTCCACGGATTCTTTTTTTTTCTTTTGAGATGGAGATTTGCTCTTGTTGCCCAGGCTGGAGTGCAATGGCATAATGTCGCTCACTGCAACCTCTGCCTGGGTTCAAGTAATTCTCCTGCCTCAGCCTCCCTAGTAGCAGGAATTACAGGCACACACCACCACACCCTTCTAATTTTGGATAGTAGAGATGGGGTTTCTCCATGTTGGTCAGGCTGGTCTCGAACTCCCGACCTCAGGGGATCTGCCTGCCTTGGCCTCCCAAAGTGCTGGAATTACAGGCGTGAGCCACCATGCCCGGCCCCTCTCCATCAACTCTATCTGCAATAGCAGCCATCTCCACCAAGCTCGTCTCTCACCTACTAACTTGATCTCCCTTTCCTTTGCTGGTCAACAGCCCCAGAAACTGGTCCCTCAGAACTAAAGGTTTATGTCGCAGTTTTCAGTCTGAGACCTGAGGCTTTCACAAGACTGCTGGGAGCCAGAGCTCCTCCTGTGCCCGTCACGGATGCTAGAAACTCTCCCTGCCCATCTTTAATTCCCCTTTGCCCGCCCCATTTTCCCTCCCCTGGCTCTGCCGAGCCTCCTCCGATGCCAATTGTGTCCACTGGCAATCTGTTTTCCTCCCGAGTCTCACATGGACTTGCCCTCCACCATCCGGGCCCCGGCAAAACGCGTGCTTTCTGCTGCTCGTCTGGGTCCTTAGCAAAATCAGCCCCGGACTCCGTGGCTTCCCGCCCGCATCACTTGGTGCCACCTCTTCACCTTTGCTTCCCATTTTACAGTCGGCTTCAACACTTCTTTCCTCAACTTCTCAACAGCCTGCCACTGTTCACTTTTCAGTTTTGACTTTTCCCACCTATAATTTTCTCTTGTAAGACAATTATTTCACTGCTTGTGGCATTTTGTTTTATGTGAACTCCTCCAGGTTTGAGTGAGCTATTCAGGTCCTGCTTTTCTATTTGTCACCACTCCTTAGAAGGCAACCAGCACGTGCTGAGCCCCCGCCCATGGACCTGCTCGCACAATCTCATTCATTCCTTCCCCCTCAAGCTATCGTTAACCTTGCCTGATAGATGAAGAGACTGAGGCTCAGAGAGGCTGGGTTGCCCGGGATTCCAACCTCATGCTCTTCACAGGCCCTGCTCCTCTCCTAGAGCTCAGGGACCACTTTTGACCCCTCCCTGCTTTTTTCGAGAGGGAGTCTCTGCCGCCCAGGCTGGAGTGCAGAGGCACAATCTAGGCTTGCTGCAACCTCTGCCTCCCGGGTTCAAGCGATTCTCATGCCTTAGCCTCCTGAGTAGCTGGGACTACAGGTGCCTGCCACCACAGTTGGCTAATTTTTGTATTTTTGGTAGAGACAGGGTTTCACCATGGCCAGCCTGGTCTCAAACTCTTGACCTCAGGTGATCCACCTGCTTCAGCCTCCCAAAGTGCTGGGATTACAGGCGTGAGTTCTGACCCATTTTTAATGCTGCCCCTCCAGGGCCTCCTCACCTCAGTCTTCCATGACATCTGGGGCAACCACCACCAAGACTGTCACGGGGCATCCATCCATCTCGGGGCAAACAGAGCACATTGCTTCTCCTTCCTTGGGCCCTGACTGCGCCAGCCCTCCCAACTCCAGTTCTGCTCCTGAATCCAGCTGGAAATCAGCTCCTCCTGCTTGTGAGATTCCCCACAGATTTGTTCTGCTTAATTTCATAAATCTTTCCTCTGACTGTCAGTCAGAGTCACCAACACTTACGGGAAACCGCCTGTGTTGGCTACGAGGGCTCAGAAGCACAGGGAGGTGAAATAACTGATCAACACATTTGCAGAGCAACAGGATGACAAGTGCAAATTCAAATAGCACAAACTGAGAACCAAGGCGTCTGGGGAGCATCGAAGAAAGAAATGAATGAGAGGGTTCGTTGGTGAGGGAGGCTTCCCAGGGGCAAGGGCTGGGCCTGGGGGTGACAGCAGGCAGGGCTCTGCAGGACACAGAGGATGACGTCTGCAAGGGCATGATGTGAGGTCACCTGTGACCTCACAGTTGCCAAGGCCAATGGCCTTTTCTTGGTTCTCATCCTCCTTGACGTCTCTGAAGGATGAGTCAGCCTGAAGCAGCCCCTTCCTTCCTAAGTCCTGTCTCTGTGGCCTCGGTGACCCTGCCCTGGCCTGGTTCTCCTGACATCTGCCCCTCGAGTGTGGGCATTCCCATGGGCCTGTCCTTGGTGGCACTGTGCTCCCAGTCCACTCCGTCCCACTGACTCTCGTCACCTTGACTGAAGGCAGTATCTCCCTCCCAAGCTTTGTCTGTCTATCCAAAAACCCATGTGCCTTGCCACTAAAATGAAGGACCTTCCTCCAACCTCAGTCTCTCTATGGCCAAGCTCCGTCATGCCCTGGTCCTGAGTGGGTTGCCCTCCTCGCCCATGCTTTCTGTTTGTGATGCCCCTGGGTGCTTTCATTGTCCCCAGATTCAACGGGTCACCTTGGACTGCTCCTCCTTCCTCCCGTCTCCAGGCGGCCTCCCTTGCATTCCTCACCTCCTTGGCTGAGTCTCAGCCCACCTCTGCTCGGCCTCCCTGCTGACCCCGCCCCAGTGGGCTTAGACCGAATGCCTCGTTTTCTGTCTCAGCCCCGAGTCCATTCTGCCGTGGTGTGCCGTGGAAGGGACTCTCCAGATACGTTTCTCCCTTGCTAGGAGGTTCCCGTTAGGCTCTGCCAACTGGGGTTCTGGAGGAAGAAGGGAAGGCCGGGGTCGGGGGAGAGGACATTGCTCTTCCTGCCTCTTCTCCTTTTTCTTAGCACCACCCTAGCAATGGCTTGCACCCCAGCATACTAACTGCTTCCTGTCGTGTGTGTGTGTGTGTGTGTGTGTGTGTGTCTGCACTCCCAGACCAGCCTTATTGTTGCCCCCTGAGGAGCCAGCAGCAGCGGGCAGTGCCCTCTTCTCAGAGATCGATCTGTACCTCGGCTCCCAGAGCCCCTCCTCCCTGCTTCTGCACTGAGAACCCCACCTGCTGCTCTCTGCTTCCCCAGCCGGGAGGCGGTGCTCCTCCTTCCGGCAGTTACTACCTGTGCTGCCTCAGCGTCCCCTTTTCCCTTTCCAGTCCTCTGGCACATGTGTAATTAACATCCTACTGAAATCCTCACTGTTGTAATGCTGAGTACGGTTCCTGGTTTTTGCCTGGCCCCTGACTTGTATAGTCTTGGGTACCAAGAGTGGTCTCAAAACACAGACCCTCCAAGATGGTTTGGAACTGGTTTGGTGCGTCTTGCCATGAACACAGGACTGAGCTCTTCCCAGTGGGAAATGGGTCCTGGTGCTCTGCGGCACGTGCTGGTGTCACACAGCGGGTGACTGAATTCCTAAGGTGCCAGCATCAGCTGGGCAGGGCCCCTTCCTCAGGGGCCTGGATCCCAGCTCCCTGGGGCTCTTCAAGCTTCTGACACCTGCAACTTCTGTCTGCCACTCTGTGTCATCTCAATGCTGCCCTCTTGCTTCTTCAGTTCTCCAACACCTGATGAACCAATTCCTTATATTAAAATTTCTCTGCTGAAATGACTGCGTTTTCTGCCTTCCTCTCTGCACCTTGACTGAAAACACTTCCTTTCTCTTCTTTTTTCTCCCTGCTCTAATCCACCCAGAGCGTGGCATCAACAGATGGGCCCTTATAACGCAGTGCCTCCATCTTGGCAAACCTTCACACAAACCCACTGAGGATTTCTTCATGGCCCACCCATCCCCACGGTCAGCCATACCTCACCTTCCCACTCTCTCCTCAATAATCCCTTACCCTAAATCTGGGCTCTGCATTCCTGTCCACCCCGTTCCTGGAAATTCCTCAAGGCTACTTCCTTCTAGGTACTCCTAGACCAAGTTCAAATCCCATCCATTCTCTGCAAGGAAAGCTCAAGTAATATCCTTCCTGCACCACCTTTGAAAGCTATCTCTCCCTCCGTCTTTATGTTGTGGCTAACGCGGACCAATGCTTATTTGCAGCGTGAGTTATGATGTCAGAGCAACCCTCCTAGGAAGCTCTATTACTATCTCCATGTATACCAAGAGGCAGAATATCATGGTACTTAAGAGCACAGACTCTGGAGCCAGACGCCAGCTCTATCGCTTTCTAGCTGTTGTGACTTTAAATCAGCGACTTAACCTCTCTGTGCCTCAGTTGCAAAATGTATAACAGGATAATCCTAGCATCTACCTTGCAGAATTGTTATGAGGATTTAATGAGTCAATATGTACAGTGCCTGGCAGATAGTACTACTTAAGTGGGGTTTTTTTTAAAGTAAACAAAATATAGATAAATGTCAAATGTTGTTTCCTCTCTTCTCCAGAACCAGAACAAGTAGCAGCTGTGCCTTGAGGTACTTCCCGCACCTGGCACACAAAGAGCACTCGCTGTGTGTTCGCTGTGCTAGAACTTCTCACACACATCTTAGTTCTGAGTGCAACTGACTCACGCTTGCATTCCCACTGCATTCCCACCTTGCATGGCAACTCACACATAGTAGGTGCTCAGCCAGTATCCGTTCAAAGCATCAACACTGGAACTGAACGTCAGCTCCTTCAATGACTAGTTATGTGAGAGAAAAAGCATAGTAACTCAGTTTAGACAGCAGGGCTATGGGGCATGGATGGAAAAATAAAACCAATGCTGTAGGTGTGTGTGGGTATGTGTGGGTGTGTGGCAGTGTGTGTGTGCGCGTGTGGTGGGCATGGCAAAGTGGGCTGATTTCTGGGCTAAGGTCTTTTGGTCCCCGGAAACTTTCAAGAGGAAACGCTGTGGAGGCCTTGAAAAGAGGCTGCAGGCCAGGCGCAGTGTCTCACGCCTGTAATCCCAGCACTTTGGAAGGCTGAGGTGGGCGGCTGACTTGAGGTCTGGAGTTCAAGACCAGCCTGACCAACATGGTGAAACCCCATCTCTACTACAAATACAAAAATTAGCTGGGCATGGTGGCACGTGCCTGTAATCCCAGCTACTTGGGAGGCTGAGATACGAGAATCGCTTGAACCTGGGAGGCAGAAGTTGCAGTGAGCTGAGACTGTGTGCCACTGCATTCCAGCCTGGGTGACAGAGTGAAACTGTGTCAAAAAAAAAAAAAAGGAGGGGAGGGGGCCAGGCGTGGTGGCTCACACCTGTAATCCCAGCACTTTGGAAGACTAAGGCGGGCGGATCACTCAAGGTCAGGAGTTCAAGACCACCTGGCCAACATGGTGAAACCCCGTCTCTACTAAAAAATATGAAAAAAATAGCTAGTTGTGGTGGTAGGCACCTGTAATCCCGGCTACTCGGGAGGCTGAGGCAGAAGAATTGCTTGAACCCAGGAGGCGAAGGTTGCAGTGAGCTGAGATTGCGCCATTGCACTCCAGCCTGGGTGACAAGAGTGAAACTCCATCTCAAAAAAAAAAAAAAAAAAGGAACAGAGGATGAGAATCATGGCTTGAGGACAGCGTAGCTTGGGCTAAAGCCCTGGAAAGCAGGTCGGAAGCCAGGGTCTGGATCATACAGTTCTGCCGTTTCCAGCTGTGTGACCCACAGCAAACGTTCTCATATTTCTGGAACTCAGTTACCTCATCTGTAAATGAGGATGGCAATACCACCAATCCTACAGGGTTGCTGTGAGGATTCAGTGAGACCACCTGTAATCGAGGGTCTATCCCAGAGCTTATGTACCGAAAGTGATCAGTAAGTTAGCTCGACACTGAAAACCAAATGTAAAAAGAACAGAGATAAGCCCATTTTTTTTAAAAAAAAAATAACTTCAGAAATAATGTTCCCACCTTATCCATAAAGAAATTAAAGCTCAAAAAAGTGCTTTGTCCAAGATGACACAGCCAGTAAGAGAAGGGGCAGAATTACTTTTGTTACCCAATACTGCCTCCTCTGGTGCTCTGGAAACAGGAGACTCTCCTGAGGAGCATTAATTTCTTTTGCTCCAGTATGATTCCGTTACTACTGTCAGTCATCTTTCTATGTGACCCTTTTACTTTCAGATTATAAAAGCCATTAAAAATATGATCATTTACTTTCAGTCTGGAAGAGGGGACTTTTTAAAAAAAGGAATCTCTTTTTCTCTATGTAATTTCTCACCACTTCTTTCCTGAGCTGCTGGGGAAGCCTGGAAAGGTCACAGCTTTCAACGGAAACAGGAGTTAAGAGTTTCGGAGTTGGGCAGATCTAGCACCTAGCCCAGAGTGCTACAGTGGGACGATTTCATGAAACATGTGTGCCTCATACACAGTAAGGATTCAGTAACGTGCATATGTGTTTTGTGTAGTCAAAGGTCTATAATCCAAGCTATTGTTTTTCTAAATATGCAGACTGATACGGTGCACTAAAAGTAAGCAAGCCACATAGTCATCCACTCTAAAAGTAATATTAATTGAGTACTTACTATGTTCCGGGCATTGTTCTGGGCGCTTGGGATGTATCAGTCAACAAAACAAAGATTGCTGCCTTTGGGAGACTCAACATTTATGTCCTTCTTGGAGTGCGGCAGCACAGTAAATTTGGGTCTTAAAAACAACACACAAGTGCCTTTTGCGAACTCTGGTCACTACACTCCTGTCACCGTTATCAGAGGGGGTGAGGTCAAGGGAAAAAAATCCTACAGTAAAGACGACCAAAGTCACTGAGCCTAACTTTGGGGTACGGTAAATGTTTAGCTGAAGGACTCAAGGTTTGCTTAAGTTCTGTTTTAACGAGTCTGCTGCTCCAGAGTTTTAACTAGTGATTTTTTAACGAGTCAGTTCAACCGGTGAAGGTGGTCTCAGCGTAGGCAGGGAGCAGGGGGAATCCGCTGGAGCTGCGAATGTGCCCCGGAGGATCATTCTTCTGCGGCTAATGTAATTTACGATATCAGTAATGGCAGTAACTCGCCTTTGGGGGAGAGAAAGGAAAAGAAGGTAGGAAATTTAAGTGAACAAAAGCTTTGGATGAATTTTGAAGGCTCGAGACTCCAGAGACCGCTGTATTCAAAAGCAAGTTTTCAGACTCACCTGCCAGGATGCATTTGGCTGCCAGCTTCACCATGGTAACCAACACTCCCGCGAGCCGTACCCAGAGGACAAGAGCGGCTGCTAGAGGCGCGGGTGGGTGGGCTTCGGGCCCTGGGCCGGCCTGGAACCGGGAGGTGGGGAGGGCTGATCTCAAGGGCCGGTGGCCGCGGCGGGGTTGGGGATGACCGAGCCCAGCCCTCCTGGGCTGTGGGCGGATAATGGGCGCTGGGAGCGGGTGGGTAGCGGGGCTTCAGGTGTGTCCGGCTGGAGGCCCGACAGGACAGTCTGAAAAGATGCAAGCGAGCGGACACCGCCTGTACTCCCGGCCCAGCTCCTCAGCCCAGCCTTTCCCAGCGGGGCCAGGGAAGGATCTCCTCCCGCCCCAAGTACCGCGCCAAACGCACACTCCAGGCAACCATAACCCACGTGCCCCGCCTCCCCCTCCTCGCTGACCCTCGATTGGTTGTCGCCAAAAGCTCCCACCCTCGAGGGCATGTAAAGATCCAATGGGAGTAGGGGGCGGGGATAATAACCTTTTCTTGAGACACAATTCGTAGAGTTATTTGTTCTTCAAGTTCGTTCTGCTGGACAAGTGGTTGTAAGTGACGTCAGTCGGCTTTATATCCCGCCCCTCAGGCGCCGTAGAGTCCCAAGGTGAAGAAGCCTTCACGTCAGGCCGACAGAAGCGGTAAGAGCAGCTTTCTGACTGGTCGGAGGCTGGCTTGACCCGTCTTCGGGAGGAATGGGGATTCGCCACTCCCGCTGTCCTTCTGGAAGTGGGTTCGCCTACCAGGGGCGAACTCTAGCAGGTCGGGCTCCAGGCGTTCTGGGGTGACGCCAGCGCAGGGGGCCAGGCCGCCGCTGAGGTCGTATTGACTTCGTTTGAGTTCGCAGCGGTTCTAGTGGCTTCCTCGGTTCCCGGGTCCTGCCCAGCGCGGCTGTCATAGTGCGTCGAGAAGTTCGGTTCCTGCCCCGCATCCCTCAGGGAAATCTCATTTTAAAAGCCCAAAGATGTTATGAGCGTTAAAATCTAAAATCTGAAGCTGTTTCAAGTGATGTTTGTGAATAAAGGGAGAACGGATAGACTTGGATGGGGCCGAGCGCTGAGACTCGGGGACTCCACGTCGTACTTTCCTCTTAGGCCACTGACTGCCTTGCAAAAGGCGGATGCATCGCTCACCACGCCGCCGCCCGTCACCCAGGGAGGCTCTGTCTGCGCGACTGTTTTCCGGGTTAGGGGTGCCTCTTGCACGTGGTTGGGGAGTGAGAGACCTAAATCACTGCCGTCTTTCTGGCCTGGGAAAGTTAACTCATCCCTCAGCCTCTCAGGATGGGCCAGAACCCCCCTCGCGGGGTGGTTGGGGGGATGGAAGGAGAGAAACCTGCGAGTTAGTAGGTTCACCAGTGACTGCGGGGTGCATGAGAGAGACGAAGCTTATCTGGACGGATTTGGTTTATCATCGCTGTCATTGGTTGGCCGAACGTACCCCCTTGTCCTCACTCTCTCGGGGCCCCTGGGATTTCTGACGGCTGATGTTGACAGGAAGAGCAGCCCCTCTGTAAAGGTGCCTGTGCGAAGGCTCCACATTCCCTCCAGACACCGAGAACATTCCACCTCTCCACCACGCTGCATCCCAGGGTGGCCGCCAGCCTTGTGTCGGGGAATGCACACACACACTCTATGAATGACTGACAGTTTCGGCTCTGAATCTGGAGTAAAACAATGCAAGTTGTCTGGAACGTTCTTTCCTTGGGATTCATTCCTGGTGTTATGGCAAGTGCGGTTCAACCTGGGGGCTGCCCATCTGTGATCTTTGGTAAAGAAAAGAGCAACATGTGGACAAGTCACTGTGCCATAGGTGGATACAGAACTCCCTACACCTCCAGGAGCATTCCTAATCCCGGGTGGGTAGAGAGGAAGTCGGGAAGGAGAGGGTCGTAGGAATTTGCGAGGTGGACACAGGAAGGTGAATGCTGGGTGGATGGGTCAGAACTCTGGGAGGGCAGGAGATGGAATACATGATGGAATGGCAAGGCCCAGAGTAGAAACCTTGTTTGAGGAATTCATTCAACAAATATTCTGTTGAGTGCTTACTAAGCACTGGGATGTAGAGGTGGACAGAACCATCAAGCTCAGTGGAGTGGCAGATGATCAGGCGATGATGATCTATGATTGCATGTTGTCAATGTTGAATGTAGAGGACTTTGGTGCAGGAAGAACAAATACCCCACGCTCTGATCCCTGGACCGCCACATTAGCATCACCTGGGGATTGGTAAGAAATGCATATTCCCAAGCCCCACCCCCGACCAGCTGAACTCTAGGGTTGGGGCCCACAGTCTGCTTCCATAAACCCTCCTGGTGATTCTGACAGATGCTCATGTTGAGAACTGGTTTTCTTTTTTCTTTTTTGAGACAGAATTTCATTTTTGTTGCCCAGGTGCAATGGTGCAATCTCGGCTCACTGCAACCTCCACCTCCTGGGTTCAAGTGATTCTCCTGCCTCAGCCTCTGAGTAGCTGGGATTACAGGCATGCACTGCCATGCCAAACTAATTTTTTTTTTTTTTTTTTTTTTTGAGACGGAGTCTCGCTTTCACCCAGGCTGGAGTCAGTGGTGCGTCTTGGTTCACTGCAACCTCCGCCTTCCAGGTTCAAGCGATTCTTCTGCCTCAGCCTTCCTAGTAGCTGGGACTACAGGTGCACGCCACCACACCTGGCTAATTTTTGTATTTTTTTTTTTTTTTTTTTTTAGTAGAGATGGGGGTTTCACCATATTGACCAGGCTGATCTCGAATTCCTGACCTCGTGATCCGCCCGCCTCAGCCTTCCAAAGTGCTCAGATTACAGGCATGAGCCACTTCGCCTGGCCTTCCCAAACGTTTTCAATGTGCAGTTGGTTGAATCCAGAGATGTGGAACTCGTGGACACAGAGGGCCAACTGTATTCCATATTTATTAGTTTATTTGTATGGTATCTGTTACCCTCCACTAGAAGGTAAAGTTCATGAGAATCGACACTTGGCTTCTTTTGTTCACCTAGTATCTAGGACAGTCCCTCCATGGCCAGGCACTCGGTAAATATTCCTAAGAATGAATGAATGACTCATAGGGTTTACCCTTCTTGTTATGCATTCATTCATTCAATAAGCACCAACTCTTGAATACCAATTTTTGGGCAGGCAATGGGCTTATTGCTGGGTGGCATGCCATGACCATTCAGATGGGGGTAACCTGATCCTGGGTCTTCTCCCACCCCCAGCCTGCACCCCTAGTTACACCCATATGCTCTGTGGAAGAGGAAGGGTTAACAGTGCTGCTTCCCAATGCCAGGGACTAGACTGCTGGGGCTGATTACCGGGGCTTTGGGTAAGAGGGGAGTGGAGGGCAGCTGCTGAGAGGTTGTTCCCAGGAACTGTTCAATCATCCTGGGGCTGAACATGTCCCAACATCCCTGATGAGCAGCATGTGGATGAGCCGCGGCTCCCTGCCAGGGACAGCAGCAACATTCCATGCACAGTGCCGGGGCTGATCATGCCCACTGCAGGGCCCAAGGCCCTTTGCCATTGTGCCGTGACAGTCAGGGGGTTCTCCCTCTGCCCGGGCCCCATCACAGTCCCATCATTTATACGGTGTAACAGCAGAACTGTTGGATACAACCCAACAATTGGGTAAATAGGAGGTTTTAGGGGAAATTAACTAATTGAGAGTTATTTTTCATGAATCCTCAAGAAGAATACCTTTTTTCTTTTTTTTTTTTTAAAGACTAGTCAAGTGCAGTAGTGAGGAGAAGGGGGAAAGTGTAGAACAAGGAGTTTGATCTGTAACTGACTGTGAACAATCAATTTAGATAACTCACTACCTTCGGACCAGCCAAGAAGAATACCTTTCATACATTAAGGAAGGTTTGCTCAAGTGCCCTTGTGTCAGAGGCAATGCCAAAAAGAGAGAGCTAGGAGATCTGTAGGAATTTTATGTATTTAGAGAAGCGTTTCCCTACCTCGGCACTATTGACATTTGGGGATGAAGAGTTCTTCGTTATGGGGGCTGTTCTGAGCAATATGGGATGTTTGACAGCACCTCTGTCTTCTACAGACTGGAAGCCAGAGCACGCTCCCTTGCTGTGACCACCAAAAATGTCCCCGGACATTGCCAAATGTCCACTCGGGCAAAATCTTTCTCGGGTGACAGGCACTGATTTAGATGTATGAACCCACTGGATAAAGGATATTAATTTTGCACTTGAAATCTGCAAGACCTTGGGCCCTGTCTTGCTGGGCTTAATCCTTGTCTTGCTACCTTTCCTGTCTCAGTCTCCTCCCACCTGCTCCTGTAGGCGCTTTGAGGCTCAGAAGAGTCACCACATGCAGAGGGTCCTCAGCACGCCTGACACGTAGTAAGACTCAGTGGGCACCAGCTCTGATGAACAGCCACTGGGATGGCGACGACTCCGCGGAGGGAGATTTATAATGCGGCTGTGCCGTTTGGTTTTACAATTTCTTATAATGCACTGTCGCATCTGGTGCACTGCTTTCTCTTGGTAATGACCTTTGCTGTTCTTTTTTCCACTGTTCACGTGGGCCTGGTTGTTTATGGCTCCGCTGATGCGGCGGCCATCTCAATAAAGGGCAGAGGAAATTAGATTGACTCACCTTCTGTGCGCCCAGAATGCAAAGTGGAGCCCTGAGCTGTGGCCTCGGCGGGGCACGGAGGCCGCGATATCCCGATTTTGTCAGCAGGGGGCAGCCGCCGCCGGGAAAATGCCTGCTGCAAGAAGAGGGCGGCCGCCTTTTGGTTTACTTTGCTGCCGCCTTTATTTAAAGTTGAGCAAATCATCCCTCCAGAGCCACCCGGAGGCCCCCTTGAACAGCCCGAGATACCCCATTTACAGAAGCCAAGAGCTGCTTTTCCAGAACGTTCCACGTTAGTGCGTCTCTGTCCGTTTGCTCACCACCTGAGAATGAGAGACGGAGACATCCCCTGGGCGCCTCCCTTTGAGACGCGGTGCTTTGATTTACAACCCGGAGCCCAGGGGTCCTGAGCCCCGCTGGAGGTTTTTTCTTGCACCTGCTGCGGTCCTTCGTGCCCGCCTTCCACACTCCACGCGTAAAGCCTGTGTGGTGGTGGTCGAGGTGGGGCCCAGGAATTCCGGGTGCCTCGGGCTGAAGCTATGTCAAACTCTGCTAGAGGCAAAGTTAAGGGGGTCCCTGACACTCTACCCTTTTTTTCCCTTCCCCTGCCCCTACTCTATATAACACCACGCAGCTGCGCACACCGTGCGGGTCCCAGACCAGCCCTCTCCCGGCAGCTGCACCCACGCTCAGGCCCCATCTTAGTTAATTCCTCATCTCCCGCTGCACGTGGAAACCTAACAGCCGAGTCTCATTCCCGCATCAGGCTCTGGAATGCACCGTAGACCTTCTGTGTTCCATTTT